ATATAGAACTTCTTGTGCATAAACTGTGAAAGTGGGGAGAAAGAGAAATGGCCACAGTAAAGACTAATGCTAGAACAAAATTCATGACTTGGCCAACCGTAGTTATAAAGAAGCACTGTTGAGTGTACAAGTCACCTTATTGCTTGGGCCAAGGAAGCAAAGTATCCTTTGTGAAATTCAATTCGTTTCACATCATGCAGTACGTCTTGAACTTGTGCCTCTTCTTTCTCTGGCGGAGAATAACCTGGAGTTTTAAGTCAAAAAAATTAAAGTTCCGAAATATATAAGATGATGTTAGAACTTAGAAGTTTTAGTGGTAATGTACCTTGTCCTTTTGGTTTCTTGCATTACATCACCTACTAAACAATGTTTCTCCTTGGTCGTTGAAAAATTCCGGTTGGGTTTCTACCTATGAAAGTTATGTCTGATACTATGATTTGTGTTGTGATTATAAATCCAAGGAGTAAGGAGGTGACAATACACAGAGACTGCAATGCTACTGGAAACAGTATGTTTGAGAGAATTACACATTAATGTCGTGCAATTATAGTAAGATTGGTGCATAGGAAAGTGATTCCAAATCATTCGATATTTTCATTTTGATCAGAAAAATTTAGAGTGCTCCTAGAAAAAAAACAAAAAAAACTTTCCTTTAGTACTATAATTCATGATTATGGCACATTTTCAAGTAAGTAAAATTAATGAAGTAATACTAAGATTTGATATATCCATACTTACCTACTATAAGTCTATAACTATTTCAGTGGACTTACACAACATACAAAATGAGAAGATAACTGAACCATTTAATTTTACTCACCATTTTCAGTCACAAACATAGGCTTGTTACGATATCTGTTCTTAAGATAGTTGACGATCTCCTCCATGCCTCTTGGAACTACAAAAAATGCTGGCATTCCTGTCTGTGGGAAAGAAGAACAACAAATTTAAAAAGACTAGTAATCAAAGACCAAAAAAACTAGGAAAAAAACTCTAAATTTCATACTGGTTCTCCAGTAGGAACTCCATCTCGCTCTCCAGTTGTCTCTACAAGCCTGGATCGTACGATTCCCAGCCTGGTTGCAGCTAGAATATATGCAGTCTTTGACATATATTGCTGAATAATGATTAATTCCAATGAAGTCAATACTGCCTTTAATCCACTCTGTTTCCTCCGTGGAGAAGCTAGGTAATTCACTGCCATGATAACGACGCATTTCTGGAGGATAATCTCCGTATACAAGAGGATCAATAGTCCAGTTTAACAACAAATTAACCATGTCATAATCTCAAGTTTTCATAAGCCCAATAGTTCTGCGCATAAGAGTAATGGATTTTGTGTTCTATTTTACATTGACTGAACTAAACAAGAAAAGAATACAATAAATATGTCAATTAGCTTAATGGGATAATAACTCGACAAAGTCTTGTCAGACCATTTTTCTAATTAATTTATTGTTGAAAAGAAATTATGTTCGCAACATAGATTCGTATTTGAATTTTGATTCGTACAGCAAAGATCATATAAAAAGTGCTTTTGTATGCTTTGAGGAAACTGCAACAAATTCTAGCATTTTAGTAATAGTTCAATTCTTAAATGTACCTTTTAACCCAAACACTACCCACAGTTTAAAGCTTGAATATCAATGTGAAAGGAGGAGATATTTGTATATTGTAAAATGAGAAAGTGTAACTAAAACACGCGCGCGGGCGCACACACACACACATATATATATATAATTGTGCGGTTTTGTCATCTCACCTTGACTTATACAAGTCTCGATGACCGCATATTGCTGGCCTACTAATTCTACGTCATGTACTAACCCAAAGGAAGATGGGGTGGGGGGGATGGGAACCACTATATTGTTAGGAGGATCAAGTCCAAGTCTAACAAGAGCTATTCCTTGCCTCCACAGATGTCTTACGAGGTTTGAACTGCTTGCCTCCCTATTGAGGATGAGGGGTTGACACCCCGAGCTCAGCGGTGGTACTAAATTCATAAAAATTAGACATTTAGGTTTTGTTTGTAACGTATTTGTTTTGGATTTTGTGTTTTTGTTTTTAATTTTTGTCAAAAAAATAATGTGTTTGATAAGTTGTTTGTTTTCTACCTAATTTGTTTTAAAAACAAGTCCCAAATTTACAAACAAGAATTTAATATTTTCAAAAATAGCAATAAAGAGAAACAAGAGCACGTTGTGCTCATCCATTTAATGAGGTCCAGACATCGAACCCTATTAATGAAAAAAAAAGGAAATTTTTGTTGGAAGATCTCTCGTTCACCCAACCCTACCCTCTGTCTCTCGTCTGTAATCTCTCTGTCTCACAAAGAACTCAAAAGTAGCTTCCATTGAAGCAATTCGAAGCACTCACATTGTCTATCTGAGGGTATGATATTCTCCTTTCTCTCAAACCCATATCTAATCCATCTCCATCGATCTCTCTCTAACACTATGAATTCTGTCACTTTTAAACTATCTATATACGTATATGTACAAATCTTGTAACTTTTAAACTATCTATTTGTGTATGTGTGCAATGAGCTTAGATTCTGATGCTAGCTTTACTGAACAATGTGTTGCAGGCAGAAATATATACTCTTTTTGGGTGCAGAGGAGGATTCTACCCACAGCGTTGAAGATCTTGTTGATGCTGCTGAGTACCCTCTTGGTTTTTGTAGTGCACAATAGACTACGTTGATCGTGTACTGTGCACTATTTTTTTTGGTTTTGTATGATTATGGCATTCTATGGTATTTGGTAGAATATTTAATACACTAATGCTACTGGGATATAATTTATGGATATAATTTGGGACATAATAAGTTGGTACCAATAAAATAATAGTAAAATATATTTAATGATGGGTGTCATTGTAGCATTAAATGAATTCACTTTCATTTTATTGGTGACAACTTATTATGTCCCAATAGCATTGCTCTATTTAATAACTAGTTATTTCTTGTGTTTGAAGACACAGAGTAATAAAAAAAATGGTCAACAATAAACATATTTATATTTACACTCAAAATCAAATTATAAAAATAGAGGAGAAAGAAAAAAATTTAAGCACCGACTATAATTGGGGCGAGCGGTGGTAATGATGGTGAATGTCAATAATAATGATGGGAGACAATGATGAGATGGTGGTGGTGGTGTAGTTGTGGGGTGGTAGTGACGGCGGCGACAATGGTGTTTATGGTTATTGTAGAAGAGATGGTGGTGGAGAGAAAGCGGTAGTAGTAGTGGTGGTGGTGTGGTGGTGGCGGTGGTGTGGGATGGTGGTGTGGGATGGGGTACTGGGGGTGGGGGTGGTAGAGTGACGGTAGCTGTGATGATGGTAGTGGTGGGGCGATAGAAATGGTGGCAGTGATGATGATGGTTGTGGGGCGGCAAGTGTGGTAGTGGTGGTAGTTGGTGACAGTGGTGGTAGTTGTGGCAGTGGTGGTGGTGTGAAGCTAAGGTGGTGGTGTAGTGGCAGCAGTGGTAGTGGTAGTGGTGGTGGTGATAGTGGGACGATGAGGGTGGGAGTAGTGGTGGTAGGGGTAGTTGTGTTGGAGGGGTGACGGTGATGGGGCGGGGGGGTTGGTGGGGGGGACAGTTCTAAATACTACTTTTTTTTTTAAGTACTTATGAAAAGTTATAAATTTATAAGTATTTTTAAAAAGTTATCTCAAGTATACATTTATGAGTTTATTTTTCCTATTAAATTTGGAGTATTAATATTAGTCGTCATATTAAATTTAAAATAAAATTTAAAGAGATCTCAACCGCAAAAATAAAGTCATTTTGTTTATCTTTTAAAATTTGAATTGTATTATACTTTATTATATAGATAAAATATATTAGTATGTGTAATGGTTGCTTTGTGTCTCATTTCTTGAGTTGATGGATGTATTGAGATAAAGAATTTGGATTTGTTTTTGACCAAGAATTAATATAAAAATAAAATATATAATAGAAATTAAAGTGGTTCCCACACATTTTCTATTTTGGTTTTGAGAGATTGTAAAACAAAAACTGCAATCAAACACATTTCTGTTTTAACTTTTTATCACAGAAAAAAATTAAAATTGATTTTATTTTTTTTGAAAATATAAAAACAAAAATATTACCAAACACAACTTTACTTTTTCTTTCTTTTGTTGATCCTTTTTTTCTTTTTTTTTTCTTTTATTGATTTTGTTTTTGCATTAAATTATATAATTAATTCTCCGAACGACTGTCAATTGATGACAATATATATCCAAACTGGATTTAGATTCCTTCAATTATTTTTTTTCTTCAATTTTTCTCAATACAGTGCTAAATGAGTGACATGTGTAAAATTTTGAATTTCAATAGATAAGAGTTTCCTCATTTATTTTTATTGTTGGTGGAGTGTTAACTATTATTAAGAAATTTTCTCACAAGAAAAAAATTTTATCCATTGAAATTCAAAATTTTACACGTGTTACTCATATAACACTATATGGAGGAGAATTGAAGGGAAAAGGAACTGAACCCATCAAAACTAAGTTGATAAACCAAACATAGCAAGAGACAAGGCACTCAACATCAACAATCTTCTCTAAGAATCTAGGAGTTATCCGGTGCTGATGATAAAATTCTCCTTTTGGAATAGGGAAATGTTATTAGACCTAAAAAATTAATATAATTTGCTAATTTAATGACGTGACTTCATTAGAATCATTAGATAAATACTAAGTTTCAATGTTTAATGGAGCCCACAATTAATTCAAAGGTCCTAGTGAATTAAATTAACAAATTAGATTAATAAATTAGGTCCGAATAATAGCATTGCTCGAATAGGGATAAAACCACTTACCAGGCCCCATTAAAAGCCAAGGCCCTACTTGCAGCTTCTTTTATCTTTTTTATTATCGGTCAACGGTTCAAACATAGGCATGTACGCAGCAATGCCTACATATCCACCTTGTTTAGGCTGCATCCACAAAGTTTTTCAAGAAAAGATCAAAATAAATTGGACTTCTATGAAAATCAAGTAGACTTTAGGCACAGCTAATTACCTGAAACTACACGGTAAAGCTTGGCAGCCTTGGCATGTGCCAACAACATGTTGTGCACCGCAATGAGAGGCTCCACGTCGGAATTGCCAACAGAACAGTTGCCGAAAGGTGCTGAACAACGAGCAGGAGGATACAATCCTTTCTTTTAGGCCATTTCAGCTAACATGTTTGGCTCATTGATCGTGAACCAATACTTCACTCTATCACCAAAGCTCTTGAAACAAGTTTCTGTCAAATGTACAAAATCTTGCCTACAAAAATGCATTAAACATTTTGCAACAAAAAGTATACTGAAACTGTTAGAGTATGTGTGGCTCATATTTGCTGTGTGCATAATGGTAAGGAGGCAGATGCCGGAGCGTAGCGGAGTGGAGCGAAGCGGAGCCCGCGACGGCATCTGCCTTGTGGGATTTATATAAAGGGACGCTTATTAGTTGGGGGTGTGGGGGCAACGCCCCCGCGGTACGGTACAGGGGTATTTTTGTAAATACGTCCATATTAGGGTTATATAAATACTTAAGATGTAACCCTACTTCAATAATGGAAAAGAGCGACCGCTCGCTCTCGTGGAAGTAGGCACATTGTCGAACCACGTAAATCTCTGTGTGTTATTTTCTCCTGCTTTCTTAATTGTTTGATTCCTTACTATTCACCATAATTGTTGCACGATCACAACAATTGGTATCAGAGCTAGACTACGATGTCTGGGATTTCCTCTACAAAATTCGACATCATGAAATTCGACGGAACTGGGAATTTTGGATTATGGCAGAGGAGGGTGAAGGACCTGTTAGTGCAGCAGGGCATGGTGAAGGCATTATACGGAAAACAACCGGCAGGAATGGATGACATGGATTGGAAAGAATTGGAAGCGAAGGCTGTGGTGACTATTAGGCTTTGTCTGGCTGATGAAGTGATGTATCACGTCATGGATGAGGAATCACCGGCGGAAGTTTGGTTGAAACTGGAAAGTCGGTATATGTCCAAGTCGTTGACGAACAAGCTCTTTTTTAGCAGAAACTATATGGTCTTAAGATGTCAGAGAGCTCGGATTTGACCCAACACATCAACGTGTTCAATCAGATCATCAGCGATCTGTGATGTGAAGTTCGAAGACGAAGACAAGGCGCTGATGTTGCTGAATTCCCTATCGGCGTCTCCTACGTACGAGA